TTTTTCCTATGACACTTTAATCAACATGAAATAACGATACATGAGGGATAAAATAATTGACATTTTTTATATACATATAATGTACGAAGAAACTAGAGATTTTAAGAATTTTAGGTTTGTTTTTTTATTTGAGCAAATTGTATGAAAAAATAACGTATTTTAATTTGATTTCTATTTTGAGTAACGTATTTTCAAAACTTATATTTTGGTACCTAAGATGTAAAATTTTAAACATTTAAGTACCCGAATAACCGGTAAAAGCATTAACCGGTTACCATGYTTATGTGGTATCCAACTCAATATTATTTGTTGAAGCATTAACCAGATACCATCATTCGCTACATCAACATGACAAYCGATTAATGCTTTAACCGGTTACCCAATTAATTAAATGRAACTATTAAGAAGTAAACAAACAAACCCTTAGTATGTTTAATAATTAATAAGTTTTATAAAAAACAATTAATAAATTTCCAATCACTAAAATAAAAGTGATTAGAAAATAAGTTGAAACCAATTTATACACCTCTAACAACAACCGTAGTTCGTCACAACTTTTTGAAATATTTAAATATTATTTTTTTAAATAATTGTTGTGATTTTAAAAATTACGAATTGTCACATAAAATTTATATTTAAGTTTTCTTACCAACCATTTAAAATATTAACTATTTTAATGTCAATAATTAAAATTAACACTACTTTAACAATCTAAAATAAACTATAAAATATTTGAAATTAAATATAATATTAGCATGATATTTATCTYTGACATGTAGCTCAGTTAATAATATAACAAAATGACTTTATTTAAATATATAAATTTAATAATATAATTAATGTTATAATCTTTAATATAAATAAATTATAAGAGTTAAAAAGTAAATTTTTTACATTTTTATTTTTGATTTTTTATCTTAATAAAATCTTAAAAATAAGTGGAAAATACAAATAAAAAACAAAAATTCAAAGAATGTTGAAAGTCAAAATTTCATGGGTATAAAATAAAAACACAATCATTTATGTATTATTATAACAATCTGGATTCGAATATGGATGCAGATCTTCATCGAAGCCAAAAGATTTCGGGGCAATTACTGAATGATTAACTGGTTAGAATGATTAWTAGTCTCTTATGATATAGTGCAAAATGAAATATAATTGTTTGGTAACTGTTAACAATGAAATCAAGACGCTGAATGGTTAAGAAAAACACATGATACAAAATCATTCAGAGAGTTTTAGAACCATTAAGAGACAAAAAAAAAATTCCAAACAAAATTCACCTCTTAACAATTCAAATGTTGCCTCTTAATGGAACTATTAAGAGGTAAACAAACAACCCCTTCATAGATCCACACATTCTCTCTTTTGCTCAACTTTTTTCTCATCGATATAACGAAAATAGTATACTGACATACTCCCACATACTCCTTCCSAACAGAAGGTGGACAGAAACAAGGACACAAAATATAGTCCTTTATAGAGGTAGATCTGACTCTGATATCGTGTAAATATATCATGCTTTACACATGGAACCCATAAGTGACAAGACCCTTAAAGTTAAAATGGAGGTTCCTACACACACATATAAATATAAATATAAATATATATATATATATATATATAATATATATACATGAACATTGAATGTATGTAATCTAGCCGATATACGACTCAATCAATGGATAGTCTTATGCTATACATTCTCTCAATCACCCAACAAGAAATCTTAACATCCCCTGTTTTCTATAAAATCTTTTTTAAAAAGAGATTCAAAGTGGTTCCACATCTATTAAATGGTATCAGAGTCGAGATCTACTGTATCTAAAGAAAAGGTTTCAAAACCTAATGAATTCCAAATGATTTTGTAGGAATTTAAGGATCATATGACTTTTGCAATATACAAGTTCACCAAATGAATCCTATTTGTTTCTAATCTATTTTGCTAATTGCATAGATTACACATGACACAACTCTAAACTATACATAGATACAATTGAGTGAAACTTGTATATAGAGATGCATAAAAGCCTAAAACCCGAACCGTAAAAAGCCCGACCTTAGCAAAAGCCCAAAGCCTAGACCCAAACCGATTAGCCCAACCAGGTCAAGTTTTATTCAAAAGCCCGATCAGGCCTGTTAAGTCCGAGTTCTTTTCTTTGCTGGTTTGTTTACTGGAGAGGAGATGAGCTTGAAAGGCCCGGGTTTTGTGTAACGACTTAATTCAAGTTTCAATTTTGTGGCAAAGTAAATCCAAAGGAACAGCGAGCGATTTCATGCTAGCTTTTGCTCCATGAGCGATTAGCAGCATTGCGACATGTGCATGCCCTGCCTCAACCGCCCGATGAAGTGGTGTGAACCCAGTACCGTCCACCAGATCAACCCGAGCACCATGGTTGAGCAACACCTTAACCCCATCAATCCAACCCTTAAACGACGATTTATGCAAAGGGGTCCAGCCATTTTGATCCCTCCCGTTCACCTTTGCACCTTCTGCTAAACATTTCTTCATTTCGTCGATATCTCCTTTTCTTGCCGATCTATGCAAAACGTCCCCTAAATGCAACATGTCGTATAAGTCCGTATGCTCGTTTTCCACTGCAAGATCGAATGCGGTCTTTCCTTCGTTAGTTACCGCATACTTAACATAATTACACGAGTTTAGCAGGAACTCGACTGCTGCTACATGCCCTTCTATCGAAGCGCAATGAAGCGGGGTCCACCTTCTGGAATCGGCTCTATCGGGATCGCTTCCTAACGTAATTAGGAACTGAAGAACTTCAATATGACCGTAACTTGCACCAATATGAAGAGGTGTTCGACCTTCAGAATCGACCGAATCGACATCTATATCTAAATAACCCATACACAAAACCTCCATTATATCCACCCGATTCGCAGAAGCTGCAGCATGCAAGAATCGATCCTTTAAATGATCAATCACACAACCAGACTCGATCAAAAACCGAACCATTTCAACATTTCCAGATTTAACAGCCAAATCCATCACTGATTCCCCATCTGCCTCCCGCCGGTTTACATCAGCACCGGCATCCACCAAAACCGAAGCAACATAACAATTCCCACTCATAACAGCAGGTCTTAACAAAGAACCGAGCTGCAACTCATCACACCACGAAATGGCTTTAGATAGAACGAAAGCGATCTCGAGGGTCTTCGTAGAGGAAGATGAGAGCAGAAACTCGATGACGTGAGGGCCGACAAAGGAGATCGGGATTGTTACATCTTTAAAGATATGTGGACCAGGTTTGGAGAACAGACGACGGAGATCTTCCTGATTGGCTTTTCCGGTGGGCAGCATGGATGATCGGACAAGAACGTTATCCGGTGGGGTTGAGAGCGGCGGATGATTGGACGGTTTCAATAAGAAAAGGGTAAAAGATGCAGTTCCAAGAGGAGGGATAATAGAAAAAGGGTGGGTGAATGAGAAAAGTGAAGGGTTAGTAGTGTTAAAAGAAACAGCAACAGCCATGGTGTGCATCAGATTGGTTAACTTGAAGGTTGTGGAACACTTTTGGTTTCTTGAAAAAACCAGGTTCACCTCCTTCAAATCTGCTTTAACCAATCTGTCCATGGCCTCAAATTCTGCAACTTTTCTGATAAAAAAACAAGAAAGATGAAGATGGGATGGGATGGGATAGGTGAGAGATTAATTTTAAAAGGGTAATTGTTTATGTTAAATTATCATAGGCTTAATATAGATTATACATTACTTTGACGTTTAGGAAGATCGTTGGAAGAGGGAGAGCGATGACAGGAAGGAGTTTAATAATCCTAGGATACGACTAAAAAGTACTACGATGTATATTTGAAGTAAGACTTGATTGCTTTGTTTGACCTGACCAACAACTAGTTATAACTGGCCTTTCTCAGATCAATGAAATTGCCAATGACTTCTCTATGTTTACTTGGTCTTTAGAGGATGAAAATGTTTGAATTTAAAATCATGGCAGAAGTAATTGGTAACTTATAATTTGAGGCTTATAAGAAGTTTACATATCCCATTTTCTATCCACTCTGGACCGGTTGTTACAATCAATGCCTACTCTTCTTTTTATTATCTAGACATGGACCATTACACTTGTATGTTTATACATAGAAACCTCCTCTATAAGGTCTCTTTGTAGAAAGAGACCAAACGGGCTCCACTTATCCTAACATGATATAAGAGACTTGGTCTATCAYATCTAGCGACTCGATACACCCTTTCTAGGAGGCACTGTCTAGCCTCCATTTGATGTCCCACATTTATTAGACACTAGCCATCAAACCTTTATACATAATATAGGTAAGAATAATAAGATTAAATATCATGAGAATTGATCAAACCTTTATACATAATACCAAGTCGCCCACTCATCCCTTGTGTTGACCATGTTTCATAATCACATGTAATTTCAGTGCAAAAACATATTAAATTGATCATTTTCATGTTTTCTTATTTAAACATTGTTAAACCTCCATCCCCATATAAAAACTCTTTTAAAGAAATTCAAAAGGGGTTCATATATATGTACTAAGAATCTACATAATTATACCTTGGAATTACTAACAATTAACAAATAAGCCAATGTTAGTTTTAGGGAACCAAGGTTAATAATACATACAGGGAGAGGGGACCACTAGAAAAGAAATTAGCCCACTATGAACATGGAGTTGGAAAAAATGTAAGTGAAAGACAAATTCATTGTTATTATATACAATATATAAACCAGTATCAAGAATATAATAGTGATTTCTTTTTTCTATAATTTAACCCAAAGCCAATGAACATTTTTTGWTTATAAAACTTAATGATTCCCAGCCAATCACCATCAAGCACTCTTCTTACGTCGAAGGAAAAGTCCAACCACACCAAAAGAAAACAAGGTTTGAAAACGTCCCTACCCAACAATTTGCTATTTGAAAACGTCCTACCCAATAAATTATTTATAGCCTTGTCTACTAAGAGCATTTTTAATAGAATCTTTAAAAAAAAAAAATGGAGTTAAAAATCAAAAATCTCTAAAAATATTTGTATTCGTCTCCAATAAATTCTCCATTTTAAAGATTATGTTATTAAAAATATTCAATACATTTAATAAAATATTWTTTTTTTTCTTTGGAACATTTAATTTCAAAGACTCTTACGTTATGTTCTCGAATTTGAGAAGAAAATAAAGGAAAAGAAAGAGAAGGAAATAAAAAATGAAAGAAAATATGTTTTTACAAATATACCCKTCTTTATTTTCCAAGGGATGTAATTGACGGGCATATATGTAATTTTATAAACATTTATGGTAATTATTATTTGTTTCCTTTCTTTTCATTTCCCTCCTTAAAATAACTCTAGAACACGACATTTTTTCTTTTCCTCACTTTCCTTTGTAAAGAAAAAGACCGGAGAAAGMAGCGTTATTGATGTAAAATATTATTTCTCAATCATAAGTAATCATTTTTCTTTTCCCTCACTTTCCTTTGTAAAGAAAAAGACCGGAGAACGCAGCGTTATTGATGTAAAATATTATTTCTCATCCATAAGTAATTATTTTTTATGAGTTCTCCATATTTGGAGAATTTTATATTTCTTTTTTACTTTCTCCATTTTTTAGAAGGTTTTGAAGAATATATTGGAGTGAAGAAGTCACCAAAATCATCATTTTCTCCATTTTAGAGAATTTGTTAGACAGAAAAGAAAAGGAATCAAATTGCATACCTTATATGCAGGAAAGAAAAGCTAGGACGCCATGTTCATATATTTCTACTGCAAACACAAAATCCGTTACTATTTATCTTTAAACTTGCAGTTGAAAAGGATAACATAAAAGGTTAAGATMATTAATAAACAAGTTTGAGTAAAATGCCATATAAGTTGAAAGCATCAAACTTTTACTTTAGGGGGGCGGACCACTAAATTACAAAATGAGAAGGAAAAAAATGAAGACTCCTGGTCTGCAAAGTGATAAATTTTCACTTTACTGATGCTAGGTTATACCCGTAATTAGGGTGCACAAAAACCCAATCAACTCGGCCAACCCAGCCTGAAATAATTCAACCCCAATCCATACAATGCCTAATTAAGYTGTAAAMTCTTCAAACCGTAAGTATTGGATTGGAATTAGGTTCTTATCTGCGATACATCTTTCGTAAGTGTGTCACAATTCCACCCATAATCTACTTCCTATTTGCAAGAATATCCAACTTTCTTCTTGGTGTTGGTGTTGCTTTTCCTTTGTTCTCCATGTAGCATAAAAGGCCAATTAAACGGCAATAGTGACTAATGGTTATTTAAGTATATGTTGCCATGTTGCTGTTATGTCCTAACCCGCATGGGTTGGGTTGGGTTGGGTTGGATAGTTCAAACCGGCCAACCCAGCCCATATGCAGCCAGCCATAATGTCTTGTAGCATCTCATTGAAAAGTGTCTACACAGGCTACACCTTTGATTGTCAATTACAGGAAAAACTAAATGCTTGATGAACAAGGTCATTCTTAACATCTGATTAAAAAAACTGTCACTAGTCTTAACTTCATCTGAGAAAGGTTTTCATTGTTGCCATGTATAAATGCAATCATCCAAGATGATTATATGGCACTTAACACTTGTTGTTCTTTGGTTCTCATATGGTGCAAGAATGGTTCATCACCGGTGTTGTACATTGCTTACTTATTTTAATGAAGGAAAGACTAGTCTATTCCTAACAAAGAATGGAATGGGGAGGGGAACTCCTATAACAAAGATTGCTGGCTTTTAATATGGCACCCCAACAAGATGTAGTRCAAGGTTAAACTGGCCTGAAAGAGTCACAAATGACAAGACCATACATGGTTTTGTCATCTTTATTCGTCTGTGAACAAAATCTAAACGGAAAGACAGATTAGAACTTTTAAAGTTTAAATGGCTATTGATCCACAAGGTTCTTTCATTACTAGTTCTAACATACTTCCTTTTATCTGCCATAATCAGTCATCTCTTTGTCAACATTATTAATACTATTAACCTTTTAAATGCTTTTTGCACTCAGATCAGCTACCTCCTTCACAAATTTGTACCTAGCATTGAATTTCCAAAGAGATCATAGTGTTGGATTTTCAACATTTAATCTCAGTTTGAGATCATGTAAAACAACCGGTGGTAACAATTTGAGTTCATATMTCTCTCTTGGTCGCCTGAATTACCAGAGGGTGGTGCAATGATGTACTTGTGGTAAYAATTTGACCCGTTAGGATGTGATTTCACAAGTCTTCCTGAAATACAAAGAGCCATTAATAATTTGGTATTAGTTTCAAAGTTCAAAGATGGAATTCTGTAAGTTCTAACGTTTGGTGTCAAACCTCAAAGTTTCCCAGCAAAATCAAAATGATCTTGAACGACCATAACACCAACAGTCCAACACAATTCTTCCACTAGTATCTGTTATGAAGTTCGCAATAAGTATCAAATTGGTATCGAATTTTAGTTATTTTACAATGAAAACCGGCCGTATAACATGGTATTTCTCAATTTGAATCTAAGAACTTCAAATACGAAACGTGGAATCCAACATATCTACCSTAATACATAAATCCGCATCAACTCAATTACAAACTAACAATCAAACTCAATTCTCAGCACAGTTTTCAATTGTTAGTAATTGAAAACAACAATAAAAAAAATATCAACTCACCGAGCCATGTTCGATTTGTGAATTCCAGTATCCCAGGCTTGGATCCTTCAGCTATGAACTAGAAAAAACTGTAAAATCTGGGGAAAAAAATTAGCTTCAAATCTTAATTAAAACCAACCTATGAAATAAATTAAACATAAAAACATGCTTCTGTAAGCATTCGTACCTGCGTCTAAAAGAAGAAAGAGAAATTGCAGGTGCGAGATCAGCCTGAGAATGTAGGATTTGAATCTGCCGGATGAACAGAACTAGGGTTTTAMAACGATGGTTCAAGTCCAAATATCGTTTTGATGGCGGGAAATAGGCGGTTTACCCGGATCCGGATAGATATTAAACGGGTTGAAGTTGTGACCCAGTGGGCTGTGGGCTAACCAAACCTAGAAAAAGCCTTATAGATTTTATATGGCAAAAAGTGGGTCCTACCGTCCTAGGCTAGGCCGGRAGACGGTCCCAAATCGGTCATCTTCTTAATTGATTCTTTAAAAGTCAGGTCGATCAATACTGGTTTCGATCAGAAATCTTAGGATTGATGTTAGGCCTTATAACCGGTCCCGGTCCCATTGGACTGGTCTGAAATTCARTTCCGAGGCTGGCTCGGTATTCTAATCAAGTTTTCTTTGAATACTTTTACACAAAAATGTTATYAGTATTTATTAATCACAATTTTTRAAATTTATGGGCCGTTTAACAAACGTTTACCCGATTAAGCGTTTGTTGATAAAATTTAAYAYTGCCACTTACTTACCGAGTAAGATTTTAGTCTACCAAAAGAGTATCATATGCAACAATTTACATGATAAACGCTAACCATGGTAAGATCTGTCTCCCTYACTTACTGGRTAAGACTCCCGATCGTTGCCTACGTTTTCAGGGATTTTTGGTTCTTACCGTACTCATTTGGTAGTRTAAAGTGACTTAGTAAGCGMTTACTCAKRGTAAACGTTTGGTAAATGGCCTCTTAGTATTGAAATTCACTTTAAATTAAAAAAAATTTGAAAAACCTGATAATCTTATAAAAGATCTTGAAAAACTTGAATTATAATTGATCCAGTATGAACTTGTTTATATCTGAGGTATACAATGAACATCTGGATAAAACATTAATGAGACTCGTACGACATTTAATGCAATGTCTCTGTTGGTAAATCAAGTTCAATCGACAACATCCATATCTTTGTACTCRTATATAGGATTTTATATATGCTCTACGACTACGGCAACGTATCAGTTGGACCTTCCAAGCCACGACGATTTTCCTCGACGCCAAGGGTATGCCTGCTTTGCAATTGACGTGGAAGGTCACAACCGATCTGAAGGACTCAAGGCCTTTATCCCCAACGTAGACACATTGTTGATGATTACTTGGTGTAGGTGGTTTAGGCGTTAAGGGAAGTAATAAAACTGCAAAGGCCATGATTTTAGGGATCAGTTGTCAACGAATTAAATTACCAATATAACCTTTCATATTTAATTATTAAATAAAATCTATAAATTTAAATGACTAGGCTCATACARAGACGATCCAATATTTTTGTAGGTTCTGCTACATCCAAAAAAAAATTACATTGTATAACTGAGATCACAAATAATATATGTTAAGAACAAAAATGGGCTATGTAAGATCCCACATTGGTTGGGGAATGAAACAAATGTTRCCTYATAAAAGACTTGATACCTCATCTATCAGRCGCGTTTTAAAACCGTAAGTTCAGGTGTGGGACAAAGTGGACAACATCTGGTATGGTTGRCCTAAGATGTTACATATGGTATCAGAGCCATATTGGTGTGCCAGCGAGGACGTTGGGCTCCCAAGGGGGATGGATTGTGAGATCCTACATTGGTTGCGGAGGAAAAAAAAAGTTGTCTTATAAGGGAGTTGATACTTCCTTTATCAGACGTGTTTTAATACCGTGGGTCTAGGTGTACGGACAAAGCGGATAATATTTGTTACGAATTGCATGAGATGTTACAAGTTAAACCTAAACGATTAACAATTTGACACTAAACMTAAACCATTGATAATTTGAACTTAAAACCAAACAATTTTGGCTATAGTTTACACCCTAAGCACAGGTAAATTTTGGCCCCAAATTTTCTGGACCACTATTCAAAATCTCACATTTAATATGTCAATGAACGGTCATGGGCCCATATATACACATAGGGGTGCTCAAAAATCCGACCAACCGATTAACCCAACCCGACGCAAAATAATTCAACCCGAAGCAACCCGATMTCTAATCGAGTTGTAAAATTTTCAAAATGTATGTGTTGAGTTACTATTATTTGAACTCAACTCAACTCGATGAACCCAATATCTTTTTATTTATTTGATTTAATATGATTGTTGAATTTATATTAATATATAKATTAGATAATTGCACTATCACGTACGCTATTCATATACACATATTTTCAATCTATTCATATCTCTATATAACTCATTCATATATATGTTCAATAACTATGAATATATATATATATATATATATATATGTGTGTGTGTGTGTGTGTGTGTATGTGTGTGTGTAAATTGAGAAAATTAACTGAATGTGATATACATTAGAAGTATGGATAAGTTGTATCAAATGATTGGCGATGAAAAAAAAAGTATGAATAGAGAAATAACATATTCAAGGTTAGAAAAATATTTTAAAGTACCAAAGTATCAACCCGACCAACCGTACAGTTTGTGTTGGGTTGGGTTGAGTTAAGATTTTTCAAACCGTAATTAATTTGAATTGTTCAAATATTTTTAACCCGATCGACTCAACTCATGAACACCTCTATAAACACATATTTATGTGTGTATTTTTATTAGAATATACAATTCAAAATCAACAAAATTTAGAGATAGATTTTAATAAAATTGCCTATAGAATCATTCACTTGTTATAAAATAAAATGAGAACATTGAATCAAAGCCAAGAACATTAAAAAAAAAGAATCTAATCATATGGTGTGAAAGGTGAACAACAGACCAACTTAACTACAAAACAAATTCCATGGGATATTAATSGATTGTTTATTTTTCTCATATAATAATAAATTATTTTCTTTTATTATACTTTATCTTATTATTATTATTCTTTTTTTATTAATTTGGATATTCCAACTTGTTATGTGGGCCGACTAGTCTCAGAACGTCACATGCTATGCAGATAGCTCGAAGTCACCGCATTTGAATCTTTATGGTCATAAGGGGATTTTTATTCCTCATTGGATTTAAACATGAGATATAAATACACTTTTGATAAAGCCTAAGTTTAAACCAATCAGACATCAGCCTTTTAGTTGTTATTGGTTTCTCACTATTGACCATCTTAGAAATCTAATAAAAAAAATAAATTATATCTAATTCAAATATTTGTGATTATGGACTAAAATATATTTAATTAAAAAAACCAATATTATGAGATTAAGAAATTGAGTAAACTACAAATTTAGTCCTTATGGTTTGTCGAAAATAACATTTTTAATCCATTTAGTTTCAAAATTACAAGATGGTTATYGTGGTTTTCAAAAACATTCAAATTTCATTAAATTAAAGGCATTTTCATCCTTTTATTGATTATATTATGTTTTACTTGGTTCAAGACCACATGGACCAAAATCATAAAGTCGATTTTGATTAGGTAAAAAACAAAAAACAAAATGATAAAATTATGAAAACGCCCTTTATTTAACGAAATTTTCTTAACGGATGTTAATGAGATAAACCAAATCCATATGTTTTTGAAAACTACGATAGTTATTTTTTAATTTTAAAACTGTATGAATGAAAAATGTTATTTTCGAGAAACCACAGGGACTAAATTTGTAGTTTACTCTAAAAATTTATTAGTGACGATGAATAATGTAGAAAAAACCAAAATCAAATTGGGAACAAAGTTGCATTAACTTGACAAGGACTTCGATAATATTGTCGTTTGTGGAAATCATGTTTGAACACCATAAAACAAATATATATATATATATATATATATAAATTATTTAATTTTGCTTTAAAAATAATATTTATTTTAATAATACTTTATGATATCGAATAAAACACGTTTTCGTAGTAACAAAGTCAGAAAGAAATCATTCAAAATCATCTGACCGTTCAAAGGTCTATGATGAATGGTGGCGTTTGAATTTGAACTCATATCATCAAGTTAAATTATAAACTTTTAACGAGTTAAAAATGATAGAACATACGTCATATATATATATATATATTTATTTATTTATTTATTTATTTATTGTGCTTAATTATCTACTCTCYTATAACAGTAGATTTCCAAACCAGCTTACTTGCATCTCTACTAAGTTTATAGAACCTTAAAATTAACAGTCACACAAACCCTCTTGTGATAAAATTAGGCACAATGATTTTGCCTCGCTCATTTTGAGAACCTGGTTCACCTGGCCCGTTCAGGGTCAAGATTCCATGTAAAAAGGGTACAGGGTCCGGGTTCGGGTCTATGGATCCCTGACATATTGGAAACCCGATGTCAGGATCAGACATTGTATTCTCCAACCCATCATGTCCAGGTATTTATATACATCTTAATTAAAATTATATTTTAACCATTTATTGTTAAATCAAGGATGAACCGGTGATAAACCGAGGGAAGAATGATTGTATTTCCCGCTTTGTTACCATGCCTACGAGAAATGAAGTGTAATTGGGTGAAGAAGTCAATTTACACCCCTTAACTATTGCAAAACTACCAAACAAAACCCTTGGAGAATAACCCAACACTTGAATCAAATCAAGAGAGAGAGAGAGAGACCTCAAGTTGTCCCCATTCCCCAATCATTTCAACTCCTTTCTTCTTGATTCACCATGCTCCACCAACCCCTCATTGCACATCACACCATAACCATGCTTTCAAGATTTATATACACACAAAAAAACCATAAATGGCCCTCCATTTTCCAAACCCATTTCAAGAATTCAAGATCCAAATATAAACCCTAAATCAAACCTTTATATACTTGTAAATAGATCATCAAAAAGTAGAGTAACAATATTACAAATGGCACCCATGAATGGTTTCTTGCTTCCTTCCTTCCTCAAGCTATCAACCACCATTGTTGTTCTTCAAAGTTAGCTTCCATTAACAATCATCAAAAACCCTAAATGGGTATGTAATGTAAGTAAGTAAAACCAGGGATTTCTTACCTAAAATCCCAATTCAAATCAAGAATCACAAGAACCAATCATCCATTTTCTCTCATAATCTTGAAGAAATTAGGAAAAATAGTACTAAAAATGTCAAAATATTTTCTGTTATATTATGTATAAGCCCTTCTTCTTCTTCTTCAAATCTTCCATGGCCGGAAAGTTTTACGAAGAGGGGTTCACGAAAWTTTTCATTTCCTCCATTAATGTGTAGAAATGCTCGTTATTTGGCAAGAAATAGAACCCGATTGTCGCTTTTTTCAAGAACAATAGCTTCACATCCTGCCCAGATTTCTGTAATCCTTCCACGTAATCCAATTGCCAATCTTGAACGAGATCCAGTCCCGCGACGACCACCAAACTCTTCGGAAAATTAACTCCGGCGAGATTCGACCCTCGAGGTCCGAAAATATTGCAGGCCGGATGATCTCTATCTTCACCTTCCGGCAAAAATGCTCGCCAATACCAGTCTCGATCTTGTAATTTCACGAAATATTTTCCGTCTAAGTTTTTCTCCGATTCCGTTCGTTCTTCGCCGCCGAATAACGGGTGTAGGAGGATGTTTCCGAGGACTTCGACGCCGGAAACCGCCGCTCTGTGGGCCACGTGATGGGCGATATTCCCGCCGGAGCTATCTCCGGCTAAGTAAACGTGAACTTTTTTAGAGTCTTTTCCACTTAAAAGCCATGATCTTGAATGAACCCATTTGAGAGCTTCCCACCCATCTTCATAAGCGCAAGGATACCGGTGCTCTGGTGACCGGCGGTAGTTTACGGAAACGACAACACCTTTGATAAGTCCGGTGAGTCGCCGGCAAAATGTGTCGTAAATAGCACTGTTGGCGGACGAATGAGTGAAGCTTCCGCCGTGAAAAAAGATTATCACCGGAATAATTTCTGTTGTGCTAAGAGGTTTTTCGAGTTCTATGATTCCGGCACCGGAATGATGACTGGTTTCATTTTCCGGAGACGCACATCTGTAAATCCGGTTGAGTAGACTGGTGGCGCGGTCGACAACGTCGAAAGAGTACACACCGTCCACCGGAACGGTGTTAGCCACCACTTTCCGGTCAAGAAACTCGGCTAACTCCCGGTTAAAAGTGCCGTCCGGTCGCCGGAGCATATTGTAAGCGAGTTTAAAGTTGGAAATCAAGATCCATGTGTGAAGGGGAACCACTTTCTGCACAAAAAATCACAATTTTTTAAAGAAATTATTCCATAAAATCACCATCCGACGATCAAATTCCACAAAAAAGAAAAGAAACCCACAAAAAATTGCGAAAAACCCAAGAAATAAAAGGGGAAATTTTAATGATGAAATGAAAAAAAAAAAAAAAAAGGATCAAAAGAAACCCATGAAATCATGAGTTAGAAAAGACCCAATTTTTAGCCCTAAATCAGTCAACAACAAAAAACCCACAAAATCAAATAAAATTACCCAATACGTCAATCAAAAAACACAAACCATCAACAGAAAATTTAACCATTTTTGGAGGAACATGACAAAGAAAAGAAAAGAGGTGCAGAAAAACAGATCAGAAAATAAAACTACCTTGGCTTCATTTGCGTTGATTTCATTACTACCCGCCATGAACACACCTCGTTTTCTCCTTCTTCTTCTTCAATCTTCAAAACCCTTCAATTTCTTACGATCGATTTCGACGAAATCTTCAAACCCTAAAACCATAAACTGTTCTTCAGATTGATCAGCGTTTGATCACACATAACGATTTGAAAAAACCCCCAAATAGAAACTGGTTAATTCCACTGATTTCAGAGAGTTTTCTGCAAAATAGAGAACCCAGAATCAAACGGAACTTATAGAGAGAGGGAGAGAGAGAGAAATGGAAGAAGGGGGGATGGAGGCGAAGAGAAAAGAACGACGGTGGTGGACGGAGGCGAGAGAGACGACAAAGCAGGCGGCCGAAATAAACTTTATAAAATGGGACCCAAAATATTATTATTTATTATTAATTATTATTATTTTAATTTATAAAAATTACAGTTTCGCCCCCTGGGTTTTGGTTTTAATTGCTTTTTGGACATTTGCTTTAATAAAAACAAAGGTAATTATAACAACTCCACCTAATTCATGCATCTCCTATCTATCAATTAATTTTTTTTTCTTTTTTTCTTTTTCTTTGGCAAAAATCTAATTTTATTATTGAATTTTAAGTGGGTTTTTAACGGGTTTTCTAAAATAGAAAAAACAAACAACTTTATGTTCTTTATAATGTTTTAACAGATTCTTTATATTGTTTCCTAAAATAAAAAATTATGGAGAGGACGTTAAAAATAAATAATTCTCTATAACTTTAATGAGGAATGAGAGATTGTTTGTTTACCTTTTAATAGTTTCATTAAGAGATAAATCTTGTTTATCAAAAAAATATGTCTCTTAATGGTTTTAACACTCTCTGAATGATTTTGTATTCACGACATCTCTTAACCATTCAGTGCCCTGATTTTACTGTAAACAATTATATTTTATTTTACATTATATCATGAGAGCCTCTTAATTATTATGACCACTTAATCATTTTGCACCAAACCACTCAACAATTGTCAAACAACCCCTTAGTTTTTTATTTATTTATTCCATCAATGAGAGATGAGTTAATATAATTTAGATAATATTAATTAATGATGAAAGCTCTAAAATATAGAATCTCTTGGATTTATATGTTAAAAATGCTATAACATCATTACTAAAATCAATCCATTTTTTATTAAAAAATTCTCAAAATAATTAATTTTGAAAATGAAATAGTCCTTTGTTATAACTGTGGGTATTCGGACCAGTTTACGTGCATCAATTAATTCCCAGGACGACCATGAATAATCTGAAGTCATTGCAAATGAACATCCATCGCCACGAGTAGGGATGAAAACGGGACAGATAATACATCCCCGAACCCTGTCCCAACTAATCTCCGACATGTTCAAAGGGAAGTAATCCTTGACGGATTCGAAGAACCCGCTAGGTACCCATTTAGTAAAAAACAAAATGTATTTTAACGTTAAAGTTATAATAATCATTGTTACATTAATTACCAATATTAAAAATCAAATGCATTTTACATTTAATAATAAACGTATACATATATAGTTATGTATTTATTTATACACATATTAAATAAATTAAAAAATTGATTCCGGGAGAGAGACTAAGACGGGTAATGTCATTCTCGACTCCCACCCTGCCCCCGTTTTAGATATGAAAATAAATCTTCATCCACATCAAAGTGGGGCAAAAAATTTCATTTCAAGTGAAAGCGGTCTACGCTTAAATTCGAATTCAAAAAGTATGAGATTTTCACTACATCCCTCTAACTGTTAACCAACGTTTCACAAACCAAGTGGTTAGATATATAATCTATTTAGCATTTTTTAAAATATTAAAAAAAATGATATGATCAATTTTATTTGTATGTCAAAGAACTTGGACATTTTCGTACTTGTACATTTTCATTAAAAAAAATTCAACATTTTCCAAAATAATGCATAACATAATTAAATAGAATTTTAAAGAAAAAAACAAAATCTATTTGTTTGGCAGTCGACATTTTTGTCGTGACTTGATATCCTGATCATTACATATATAAGTGAGTTAAAACGTCAAACCGTATATTTAAGATTGCTTACAATAAAAGTAAACGTGCATTAATAACTGATATCATATGAGTTTTTAATATTTGTAGTTAAAGAAATCAGAAATTTATTATTAAAGTGAAATGAATTAATAAGCATAAATATGTTAAAGATTGATGGTAAACATGTAAGTTATAAAATACTACGTATGACAAATCATAATAAATAAGAAACATGTGGTCTCATTTATATCATTGAATCTTAACAACGTTACCAAAACATCCTCCTTTTCAAATTGTACAACAATGTTGTCAATCATTTTATTATAAATGTTTCTAATTGTTTTCTTAAACTCAAACTAACGGATATTATTCATGGGGTTTAACAGGGGACGAGATGTTAATCCTCGTATCCGCTGAGGATTGGGGTTGGGACCGGGGGTTGTTACTAAAAACTGGGGCCGAGACCGTGGATTACAAAACCCGCCCCATCCCCGCCCTGTTGCCATGCCTATTTCCGCCTACCTTTGAAATATAAAACACATGTTTTTTATGTTACAACTCATCTTCATTTTTAGAGCATCTCCGACAACTTCTTCAAAATAGAGAAAGAAAATAAAGTAGGGATTTTGAATTAATATTTTGCGCTAACATTTTCTCTAAAACTATCTACAAAATGGAGAAAGTATGAGAGAAAATATTTTTTTTTTCTGCAAATACCCGTTAAAACGACGGTGCTTGATCTTCACTTCTGTATTTGAAGATMAAAAAACATGGAATATCCTTTTATAATTATTATTTAAGGCAAATGATCGYGTGAGGARGAGAGTTAAGATGAGAAACGTAAGAAGATATTTGAACCMTTGATCACYTTTAATCTCAAACTCATCTTTGAATTGCGCTAGATAYAGGGATTGATCTGATGGATCTCATACAAATGTGGAGATCTCTTCTTGTGTTTCTTATCGCAACTCTTATTTTGYCTGGAAACCAACCATATTATATAATATTTAAAGTGATTACTATTTAATATATTACATATGTTTATTTTGTGTCATCAAGTATAAAATACATGTTAATAATTAATAAAAAATGAAATACAAKAAATATTTGAAATAAACAAATTAAATGAAAAATAATCACTTTAATTTAACATATTATTTTGTCAGTTTTTCTGTAGTCTTTACTCATCTCACCCTATRTGTATGTATGTATACGTATAATTAAAATGAGAACCAAAAAAAGCAAAAAAAACTTGTGAGAATCGATATAAAAATACTTTTTACACTATTTTCCCCCTCAATGTTATGATTTAAGGCATTATTTTACATAAGTTTGTGTTCACATTGTGAAAAAATACGTTTGAATTCTTTTGCTTAAAATGTGAAATAAATACATGTGAACCTATCACGTTATAAAACAAATATATGTAAAACAATAAGGATTGAGTTTCAATAAGAAAGAAAGTTTTACTGAGAAATGTAAGAAAATATCTTCATCATTRGATCAATCATAATTGAATACCAACATTAATGTGGTGCACTGAGATGCACCAGATCAATTCCCTTATAAATCGCAATTCATGGGTGAGCATGATATTAAAAGTGATCAAGAATTCAAATCTTTTTTTAACATTTCTCACACAATCATTCGCCTATATATATATATATATATATATATATATATATATATATACAGAGAGAGACAGAGAGGGATGAGTTATTATGCAACATTTTATATTTGTACAACCAATAGCACTCAATCTCAGACGTTTATTTAATTTGATGAATATGCGATTTCATAAAATTTTTAATATAAAATATTGATCATAATTAATGAACCATACTCATATTTCATAAATATTCAAATCATAATAAATGAACTTTTATCATTTCTAGAAATATCTTAATTAATTGAGTTGCATTGGTTGTACAAATGTGATAGTTTGCATTTGAAGTGTCACACACACACACACACACACACACACACATATATATATATATAGGTAGAGAGAGTTGAAAAATCGTGTGAGAAAAAAAAAAGTTAAAAGTTAGAAACGCAAGATCCTCTTGATCACTTATAATCTCATGTCCATTCATGAATTACGCTTTAGAAAAGAATTATTCGAATACATCTAGATGCATCTCATTAGTGTTGATCTTYAATTTAGATTGATTGAAAGATATAGATCCTTTTTATCCTTATCATAACATGAAAAAGTAACATAATTTAATTTAATTACTATTTTGGGTAACGTATTTTTAAAACTTTTATTTTGGTACTTAAGATATAAAGTTTGTAACAATTAAGTATACGGGTAACAGGTTGAAACATTAACTGGTTACTGTGCTGATATGACGAGTGATCTGGTATCTAACTCAGTATTATTTATTATTCAAGCAAATTTCATATCATCACTCGCCACATAAACATGATAACCGATTAATATTTTAATCAGAGGAAGAAAGATGCGTCTATTTTCACAACCGTCGGACGTACATGATAAATAAAGAAAGAAAAAAATGCGCCAAAAAATATGTCGATAAAAAACCCATTATTATGACGATTGCTATCCCGCGTGCGACCGACGCCAAGGCACGTGGCCACAACACGCTCCAGCCTCGGCTCATTTTCTTTTCTTTTTCATCAAATATTTTATTAGTTTTATAATTAATATATATTTTATTTTAAACTAAATTATTATTTGATAAAAATTGTTCTCTTATATTTAAGTGGATGTAAAATTAGACCCATCAACTTAATCATTGCAATATCATATTCCTTCTGTCTTGAGATAAATATTTAAAGTATGGCTTATCAAATGTTTATCTGAATAAACATTTATTAAATTATATTATTTTATCAAATAAATATAAAAATAATAAAAATTATACCCGGTAAATGATGTCGACGACTCTTACTATGGTAATAGTTTATCGGGTAAATTATTTGCATACAGTGTTGTTTTGGTGAACTAAAATTTTATCCCGTAAATAAGTAAAAATGTTGTATTTTCTCGTTAAGCATTTATCGGATAAGTTTTTGGTAAACGGACCCTAGAATAATAAAAGTATATAGTCTTAAGAATATATAATTATTAYATTTTTAATTAATTAAATAACGTTTTTATCCATTAATAATAGATTGAGCAATTGATTTTGTTATCTTATAGTTAAAAGTTTTTTTTTAAAGTATGTAGTT